CGGTTCCTCGGTAGAACAGGCTTTCTCAGGAAGTGGTCGGCTCTCCTTCTTTGGAGGTTTTCAAACAGAGGCTAAATGGTCACCTGACAGCAATGTGGATTCTGTGAATTTAGGCAGATCATGAGAAGGGTGGGCAGGAAGGGTGGCCTCAGGGCTTAGTTCTTGTGGCCCTTTTTTACACGCCCAGGGAAATCCTGATAGCCTCTTTGGGGTCAGGAAGCAATCCTGGATGTTTTTTGTCATCTTCTGGGCATGGAACAGCGGTCATTGTGGGTATGTGTGGGAGGTATTTGTGAATTTCCTGCATTGTGCAGGGGGTTGGACTAGATGACCCTGGAGGTCCCATTCAACTCTATGATTCCATGGTTCTATGATTCAGTGCACACCTTATCAAAAACTGTCCACATTGGGAAAAGCAACACTCACAAGGGACAGTAGTGATCCTCATGCTTTCCACATGCAAGGATATTTCAGTATGGGCCACACAATCATGATCCCCGTGTGTTTTCTGTGGTGGTATGTCCATGAGGATTTTATCTCCTACGACTGCTGAATGTTTCAGCTGGCTCACAATTAAAAGACAAAGTACAGGACTATTATATTCTATTTGGTGCAATAAAAGTTATCAAGGGTACATTTAATAAAAGTACATTTAAATGTACTTTTGCCTATACTTGCTATAGGTTTTTAAAGAACTATTGCAAAAGGGCAAAACATGTGCTTTGATTCAATTGTTTCCCCACAAATAATTCCATCTGAAGACAACACAGGCCAAATTCAGGCAAATGGCTGGTGCAGTTTCATGGACAATCTGTTGGAGTTCAATTGGTGGTACACTACACCTCTTTAACTGTGAAGCTCTGTGGATAGTACCTTGGACTGCTCATTTCTCAGTTTAACCCACTTCACTATCTTGGTCAAGGATAAAAGTATGCCTCACAGAGTTCTCTGAAAGTAGGGTGAGAGGACACCCAGTAAGCTTCAATGGCAGAGTGGTGATCTGTACTTGTGCCTTCCTGATCCAACAGTCTAACCACTACACCACACTGGCTCATTGAACATTCTCATGTGAGAGACACAGGAAGTACACTACTAAGCTTATGAACTGATAGCACCTTAGAAGAAATCACTATATTACCTGTGCGGGTTGAGGTCTTGGAGGCACTGCAGGGGGGTAGGCAATCCCTCCAGCTTGCTGTTGACCTGTAAGGTAATAACATTTAGATGAGAAAAGCTCATCTTTTACAAGAGTTTGGGCTTCCAAGGGCACCAAACATATTACCTTTTAGACAAGAGTTTCTCAAACTGGGGTCCCTGAGGGTATGATAGGAAACCCATGAGTTCTGTGTTTTTACAAAGGACAAAACACATGCTAAACTGGTTAAAGTGAAAATGTATGACTTTCTACTTCTTAAATGTGCAGGCAGGGACTCACCACTTCAAGGGAAGAGACAGAATGTGCTTGCCCCTTCTTTCAAGGGCGGAAAGCTCACAGAGCTTCCATGCCTGCAATTATATTTATTTAATTAAATTTATATCCCACCCTCCCTGCAAGCAGGCTCAGGACGGTTTACATCAATCTCAATACAATTCAATTAAAAATAACTTTAAAATAACAATTTAAAACAATATATATAGCTTCCAAATTACCTTAGACCACTAGCTAGAAAAGCACTGTTTGGCTGTTGGGAATCAAGAATTCAGCCCTAATCAGCTGAATGTCAAGGAGGTACAGTTTTAATGCAGATATTTCTGGTAAACCTGGATTGGTTGTCACGTTATGTTCCAACAGAAAGGATTTCAGAAAAGACATAGACAGATGTCATAGACAACATCAATCGTGGTTGTCAGACAAACAATATCTCACACTGACCATGTTCTTTGAGCAGCTCTGCAAGTTTTTCTAGGATCCTTTCAGCTACCAAGAAAGAAGCCTTTTGCTTATCTAAGGTGCAAAGTCTGTTCTAGTCAAGAGTGGGAGTGATAGTATATTGAGTCAGGGCCCTACAGAATCAGCTACCCTCCAAGGTAAGATATTTAAAGCCATGTGCATGCAATGGTTTTCTAGCACAGCCAATAAGGGTCTTACTGTATTGTTTTGTGGATGTAAGAGGACTGAAGCATGGGGCACAAGTGGCTTACTGCACATGGTTTCCCCCTACTCTTTCTGTTTATTTATGAATTTTCCATATACATATATACATTATCTGTACTTAATTATTTACATTTGAGTCTGAATTTTAACAGTATTGTCTATCCACTTATATAGTCTCGACCATCTTTTCAAAAAACAATTTTCTCCTTTCCCCTGAATTAACAAGCTCAACTTGTCCATTTCTGCTAGTTTTAACAATTTTAAACTTATTTCTTCCCTAGTAGGAGTTGTTTCGGATTTCCAATGCTTAGCCAAAAGTATTCTGGCTGATGTTAGTATAAGCACCACTAAATAGGCGTCTTCATAACTAAGATTTTCTGGCGTTATATTTAACAAATATGTTTATGTGTTCGATAAGAGATATACCTTCATGATTTCCAAAATTATTGTCTGTATTTTCCCCCCAAATCTTACTGCACATGTTTTGAGAAAGTGCTGTCCCTTTATGTGTTGTGCGGCAGTAAGGGGAAGGTTTGCCCCCCACTGAAATTTTTAATTCAAATGGCAGCTTGTAGTTTGCTGAAAATTGACAGGTGCTCTTGTAGGTATTTTTCAACAGCGATTTGGACACAAACTTTCCCATCGTATGCTTTGGAAGTATTTCTCCATTCCATTTTCATATAGTCACAGGTTTAAAAAGACACAAGGCCAGCTAGTTCCACAGCACAATTACCTGCCAGGGCTGCCGACCAGATGGGGTGGGGGCTGGGAGGACAAAATTCAGGGGGCCCAAGTCATCTGGAGGGCCCCTGAAGCTGGCATCACGCTGTATTCACAGAATGCATTTAACTTTTTTCTAATGCAGTTCTGACTGCAGCCACTAGGAGCACAGGGAAGGCGGAGCACAGTAAACTCTGGTGTGCAGTCTTTCTGCAAAGTTTACAATGAGCCTAAGAGTAACTCTTCTTTCTCAGATCCTGCAAAAACTATTAGCAAAGCAAGACCATCCAGGGCAAGCTATAATCAATGCCAGGATGCAGCCTCCTAACAAGGTCTATGTTTTCTTTTTTCCTTTAGTTCCACCCAGCTCCTGCACAGCCAGATTTTGCAACGGAGCACTTAGTGTATGGTAGCAAAGTTTTTAAAAAGCTTTTGTTGTCTTTTCCTACATTTTTCCAGCTCTTTTCAACACTTTTCTCCTTCATTTTGCTTTCATGATCTGCCATTCCTTTATCCACACTTCTAATTTTTCTTCCCCCCACCACCATTTTTCAGTTTCAATGCCTCCTGACCCATCCTGATTGGCAACTTAGACCATATTTAATAGTAGTACAGGACCAAACCTTTGCTTATGGGGAAATATTAACTCCCACTTCTGTTACAGCATAGGAAACGGTGCAAAAAAGGGCAACTAAAATGATAAAGAGGTGGAACACCTTCCCTATGAAGAATGGTTAAAGAGGTTGGTGCTCTTTAGCTTGGAGAAACGATGACTGAGGGGTGACATGATAGATTTACAAAATCACGCATGAGACTGAGAAGCAGAGAAAGAAGTACTTTTGTCCCTTTCTCATAATACAAGAAACTTGCGGGTACTCAATAAATTAATGAGCAGTAAGCTAAGAACAGATAAAAGGAAGTACTTCTTCACCCAAAGAATAATTAACATGTGGAATTCACTGCCACAAGAAGGTGGTGGCAGCCACAAGCAGAGACCACTTCAAGAGGGGATTGGATGAACATATGGAGCAGAGGTCCATCAGTGACTATTAACCACAAGATATAGATGGAACATTATGGGGCAGTGATGCTCTGTATTCTTGGTGCTTGGGGGCGGGCAACAGTGGAAGGACCTCTGGTGTTCTGGACCTGTTGGTGGACCTCCTGATGGCACCTGGGTTTTGGCCACTGTGTGGCACAGTGTTGGACTGGCCTGATCCAGCAAGGCTTCTCTTGTGTTCTTATGTTCTAACAGTCTTCTTAAAAATGCACTACATAAAACACAAGCATAGCTAAAAACTGCATGAAAGCTCTTGCCACAATCTGCATAAACTGGCAAACACTCTACAGCCAGTTTACACAACATGCAATACTTATCTAGAAAATGTTGGTAGCATTTCTGTGATTCTGGAGATAACCTAGGCCAGGATATTCCAATTCCTTTCATTTTTGGCCCTGGAACTCCCATGATCATTCTGAAGCTGGTGGTTAATTTTGAGATTCTAGTTTTATTTTTTGAGTCATGTCTGCTGCAGTGGACAGACAGATGGATACGTGGATCCTTATTGATGCATGTTAGCAGCCAGCCAACTGATTTGTTTTGCTACAATATTTGATTTGGATCACGATCATATGGGGCAGGGGCCCAGATGGAATCTTTGTCTGGGCTCCCATGGTGGCTCTCAGCGGCCCTGTTCTCTGCTCATTAAGTTCCTATTCCATATAAATGGTTTTCACAGTGGAAAGTGGTAAGCAGTGGGATACCGCAGGGCTCAGTACAAGGTCTGGTGCTTTTTAACTTGTTCATTAATGAGTCGGAGTTGGGAGTAAGCAGTGAAGTGGGTAAGTATCTGAGCCCGCTTGCGGGGAGGGCAGGGTAAAAATGTCAAAATAAATTTTAAAAAAAGCATGCAGACAACCCTAAGTTGTTCAGGGCGGTGAGAACCAGAGAAGGCTGTGAGGCGCTCCAGAGGGATCTACTGAAGCTGGGTGAGTGGGCGTCAACATGGCAAATGAGGTTCAACATGGGCAAGTGCAAAGTAATGCACATTTGAGCCAAATAAAAATACGTCGATTGGGTCCAAACTGGCATAACTGACCAGGAGAGAGATCTCGGGAATCATGGTAGATAACCCACTGAAAACGTTGACTCAGTATGCAACTGGAATAAAAAAGGCAAATGCTATGCTGGGGATTATTAGGAAGGGAACTGAAAACAAATCAGCCATTATCGTAATGCCCCTGTATAAATCTGTGGTGTGGCCTCACTTGGAAAACTGTGTACAGTTCTTGTCACCTCAAAAAAGATATTACAGCATTGGAAACGGTGCAAAAAAGGGCAACTAAAATGATTAAGAGGATGGAACACCTTCCCTATGAAGAATGATTAAAGAGGTTGGCGCTCTTTAGCTTGGAGAAACGATGACTGAGGGGTGACATGATAGATTTACAAAATCACGCATGAGACTGAGCAGAGAAAGAAGTACTTTTGTCCCTTTCTCATAATACAAGAAACTTGCGGGTACTCAATAAATTAATGAGCAGTAAGCTAAGAACAGATAAAAGGAAGTACTTCTTCACCCAAAGAATAATTAACATGTGGAATTCACTGCCACAAGAAGGTGGTGGCAGCCACAAGCAGAGACCACTTCAAGAGGGGATTGGATGAACATATGGAGCAGAGGTCCATCAGTGACTATTAACCACAAGATATAGATGGAACATTATGGGGCAGTGATGCTCTGTATTCTTGGTGCTTGGGGGCGGGCAACAGTGGAAGGACCTCTGGTGTTCTGGACCTGTTGGTGGACCTCCTGATGGCACCTGGGTTTTGGCCACTGTGTGGCACAGTGTTGGACTGGCCTGATCCAGCAAGGCTTCTCTTGTGTTCTTATGTTCTAACAGTCTTCTTAAAAATGCACTACACAAAACATAAGCATAGCTAAAAACTGCATGAAAGCTCTTGCCACAATCTGCATAAACTGGCAAACACTCTACAGCCAGTTTACACAACATGCAATACTTATCTAGAAAATGTTGGTAGCATTTCTGTGATTTTCAAAGTTTTCAAAACAAGTAATTTATCATCAGATCACAAGGCCTAGTACATGTTACTGTAATATTACACAAAGTTTTCAAAACAAGTAATTTATCATAAGATCACAAGGCCTAGTACTGTAATATTATATGCACACTGCTCTGTCAAACTGGGCAATGCATGGAAATGGAATTAAAATCTTAAGGCTACAGCTCTTTGAAGTATATCCCACTGAATCATACTTCCAAGTAAATGTGACTGATTCAGCTGCAAATTCCTTTTAACAATGTCCCTTAAAAAGCATATCACTCAACTTCCTCTGAATTGCAAAATCTAGAATCTGAAAACAGAAAAGATTTTTATAAGGTTTATAAGTTAAGCAGTTTCTAGTATGTTTCATGAAAGGACCCATGTTAAGTTCACATGTATTGTGGCATAAGTTTTCAAAAGGTTAAGACTACTTTATTAGTCCCAGAGTGCTCTGGAGTTCGCAGTTATGATTCAGAAAACAGTTCTACCAAAGATGGCAAAACCAAGTGTTTCTCAACACACATCAGAAAAACATACTGAATCGCCATTGTATATCAAAACATGAGCTTCTGAAAAAAGATACCTGGAGTAATCGTAAAGGTCCTGTTCATATCTAAAGATGATGATCGTGAGTGTGAGGGATGAGGCCTTGGCGGTGGAGGAGGTGGAGCAGCATTATCTGGAGATGTCCCTGAATGTGACCTGAAAAGCAATAATGGGGCACTATAAAAATTTAACTGCAAACTCATCACTCCTACGTGATCCTGTTAGACGGCAACAGCAACAGATTCCTTGCTGCCAAAGCTTGTTCAGGACTGTAACAACTGAAGGTAACTTAAATGCACTGCCAGCCATGATGCCATGGAGGTGGCTGCTCTCCAGCATTAAGGTCTGCAAAGCTGGAAACAGCCACCTTGTTCAGACTACAGGGCCTTATTGCAACATGTTCTCATTAACAAGTTGCCAAACTGCCAAAAAGAGGAACACTGTATTTTACCTTCAGAGAAAAGTTTTTCAGTACATATGGCAAGGGCTTTCCCACCAGTTTGCTGGCTATGACCTTTAAAGCTCTTCAAGGTCTAGAGTTTGCATATCTAAGGGACCATCTCTTCCAATACGTCTCAGTGCATCAATTACAATCCTTAGGCTGCCACTCACTTAAGGTATCCCACCTGGCAACCACCAGGGTCCATGCCTTTTCTACTGTAGCTCCCACTCTGCAGAAAGGGATCCCTGAAGGGGTGTCACCTCTAGCAGTTTTCAAAAGGTGCTGCAAGGCCATTTTATTTGCTGAGGCTTTTAATGGGGAATAAAATGCATGTATGGGGGCATGGGGTGGAGGGCTCTGGGTTTTATTTCTTCTGTACATTTAAAATTATGATTAAATACCCCTTGAGCCATAAGGAAAGAAATATATAAACATTTTAATGAAATAAATTTAGGCATAATTGAGATTTCCCCATCACTGGACCTGCTTTTTCAAACTTGCTTCCCTTGGAACCCAATGGCCAAATTACTTAAATGCACCTTACAAAACCATTTTGGCATCTGGACCTTGCCGGACTCCAATCCTATGAAATGCTACACTGGCTAATAGGTGTAGCAGTCCCTGTGTCAACCCCGCAGTTATATTTAAAATTGAAAAACATGGGACACAATAACTACTGAAGATAACAGAACTTGGTCTTCCTTTGCATGTGATCACCCCTTTCCCTCTCTCTGCTTGTACATCTTTTAAAAAAGAAATCTAAAACAAAACTGTGGATCAACCGATGCAGCCCATTTCATATCACAGCACAACTTGCTTGCATTTAACCACCAGACTGCTAGCAACAGTCTCTTCCCAGAACAATGCATTCCCTTGAATTATAATCTCAGAGTATATGTGAAGATATGAGCTGCTTCAAGCTGTTCTCTGTAGAGGCAGAATATGCATTTTATAAACAGATAAATAATAAATACTATCAGACTTGGGGGTTTTTAGAGTTAAGTTTGAGGGAAGGCACATAATGTTTGGAGACAGTGTATATAAGAGGACCAATGCATGTTCTGTGTTAGATGAAGTTGAGGAAAGGGTATATGTGACAGACAGGTGCAGTTCTGCCTCTCACTAAGAGCGACCAACAGGAGCGAATGGAAAGTTGGGAGAACAGTTGGCAGTTAGAGCTGTTAAAGTAGTTGAAGAGAGAGTTACAGTTACAGCTGGGTAGAAGACAGAACAGCTTGACCTGGGAGGGGGAGAACAGTAGCCTGACACTGGCTGATGGAAAGGTAACTTGTGACAAAGATGCTAGGAAGAATGCACAGATTGAGTTCAAAAGATAAGAAATGCTGAATGAGAGAGGGGACCTGTCGTGTAGAAGGGTCAGGGCTCTCTGTATACTAAAAAGAGACAAGACAGGTGGCAAACTGTGACTGCCTGACCTACCTGGTATCCCTAAACCTGTGTGACAGAGGTGGTGATGGGTGGTACTGTCTGTGGAGTGGGGTCACAGCATACTATTTCAACATCTTTAATATTTATCAATGAATTACCGTTGCCTAGTTACAGTGCTTCCAATATGTTCTGGATCTGAAGTAAAGGAATCTGAGCTGCTGTAACCATCTGCTGACAAGAAAAAAAAAATAAGCCACAACACTTCACAAATCAACAAATTTGGATTATTCCACCAAGATAAAATTTACAAGTTCAACAAATAAAAGTATACTGGACATAACTGACACAGTTGATCAACCTTATTAGCAGAATAATTTCTATACAATCACTTTCCTACTATGAACCTGGCCAATATTGGATAAGTTAAAAAATGCACTTTAGCTACTTTCACCAGACTGGTCGTAGTGCCCACTTTACATATCCTCCATTCCTGTTCCCATAGTGGTTGAGTTCTATAAAAAGATTACCATGCACATGGCTTCTCTAAAAGTCCATTTAGCATACCGTGTATGAGACACACTCCCAATGGGATGGGTATCTCTTGTGTGATATGCTAAATACATTCTTTAGTGGAAGTAACCCTCAAGGAGGGCCAAGGCTTAGTGATAAAGTATCTGATTTAGATGCAGAAAGTCCCAAGTTCAATCCCTGGCATCTCTAGTTAACAGTATAATGTAGCAGGCAATGTGATAGACCTCTGCATGAGAACCAATGCCAGTCACCAGACACAATGCGAACTTCGATAAACCATGATTTGACTTGGTATAAGCCAGCTTCATATGTGTTCAACTACATGGATAGAAGGCACTGGAGTGATGACACCCTGGGGTTATGTTTAAGTCCAAGAATGTACAAAGAAGGTAGATTGTGGTGATGGGTAATCATCTTGAGTATGCTTGGAGGGCTACTTCACATATTTATTTTCCCCCAGCATAAACATTAATCTGTGAGAATTTATGTGTAAGGTTTGAAATAGTAGAAAGTGTTTTTTTTGTATTGCATGTTCCCTCTAAACTGTGGAGTCTTGTGAGCAAAATTTCTACTTTGTGAGCTGCTGGCATTAAAGTTGTGAGAAAGCGAGTTGGCTACTGCATAAATTAGCTTGCTCTGGAGCCCCATCCTTCCTGAGCCGAGACAAAAATCTGTGAGCTGGAGGCTAAAATTCTGTGAGCTAGCTCACACTAACTCAGCTTAGAGGGAACACTGACTGCAAGTACTAACTCCTCAAATCTTGAACATATTATGGATAAAGCCACACACATGGCATCTAATATTATAAAATGATTGCTGTGGAAAATTTCATGCTGTAATGAATTGAAAGCTAAAGCAACCATTACTTTCAATTATCACTGAATTAGCAGGAAAATCAAGATGAGTCCTTACCAACTGTATTTCCCCCTACAAATTTTACAGATGAACTCATTTTATTTTCATCTGCAAGATCAGGTGATTTCACCAGTGAAGGACTTGTAGGATGCGTATGATCTAAAAAAAGAAGAAGAAAATATTCTGAGCATGGCAGTACATCTCCCTACCTCTTTTCTGGGTCTCAGCCAATGATGGAAATTTGATATTTGAGTTCAGTTCAAACACAATGGAAAACTTTGGTTTATTTTAACCAACCAGAACTTGACTCACATGGCACTCAGTCATGTCTTCCACTGAGAAATCTGGTTTCTTGCTTTCAGGGTTGCTATCTCAACCTGCACTGCTGTGGCCCACTATGGGAAAGTTTTGCTGTGTCAACAGATTACTTTCTGAACTTGCACTGCAGAAGTCACACCTCTATAGCCCATCTTGAAGCCCAGCCAGGTAATATCAACACAGGTGTAGGAGAAGCATGCTTTTCAGACATGAGTTATCATAGGCTGGGAGAGACTGTCTTGTACCTCAGTGGCAGGGAGACAGCTTTTCGACCGCTTTTATGTTAATACGACAGAGGCTGCAACTGTTCCTGTACCTTTAAGAGTGGTAAGAAACAAGCATGAACACTACTTCTCTCCTTGGGTTGAACAGGGATTTGTAAGAACTTAAGCAAAATCCTTGACTCCCCCAGACATTACAGATGCTAACTAGCTTAGCCTTTGTATTTTTCATTGTTAGGTATGAATTTTACATAGTTAAGTTTCATCCTGTACTTCGTGCATTTCATGGCCCCTTGACTTTACCGTGTGCTTTTTTGTATACTACTTAAGGCAGGGGTCCTGACTGTGGCACCTGTGGGCGCCATGGTGCCTACCAATACCTTTCCTGGCATCTACCAACTGTTTTTAAAAAATGGGCAGGGCTTTCACCCAGCAAGACCTTCGACTGACCGTTGGAGATCTGACTGCAGATTTCTAGAAATGTTGCTTTTACAGCAGCTGTCACCACAGCACAAGGATCTTCACAGTGAGACTGAAGGTAAGCTGTGGCAGCCATTTTGTAGATGGCTCCATCTCCTGCAGCAGCCACTTTGTGGCAGCCATTTTGTGGCTGCACCCACCACACTGTCAGAATTCCAAAAGTGCCCTCAGGCTCAAAAAGGTTGGAGACCCCTGACTTAAAGTGAGATCATAGTGAGTATCCATTGATTACACTAATTACATCCACAAAAGCTTATGCTGGAATAAAAATTTGTTGCATTTAAGTACCACAAGACCCCTGTTTATAATAGCATAGTTATAACTTCTAGAAACTAAACTCACCATTTCCAGTTCTTTTAAGCTCCATTTCCTGCATATGGATTTTGCTTGGAGTCATTCGAATTGGAACAGGGTGAACAATAGCAGTATCCTAAGACAGAGAAGAATAACATTTTGATATATAGTTTAAACCATTACTCTAAGCTGAGGTCCTTCATTTTTTTATCTGTGTGGTGCTTCCACCATGCAAGGAGACAGGTTCTACCATATATAGTGCTGCCAAAAGGAGATTTGGGTTGTACTGGCAAACAGGAGTGCAAGAAGTTACATTATCATACTTCATAGTCACCTCTCTACATAGTGGACAAATCTTCAACCCCACAGTTAATGTGGCATTGTCAGTGAGCTTACGGCTACTTATTTACAAGAACTTAAGCTAAGCTTAAGTATTAAACTTCATAAATTATTTTAACAGAGATTTTCATAATCTCATGCCATGGGTCAGCTTCAGTCACCCGTAACTTCCTTTAGGCCACAACACCTCCTTTCCCAGCTACCTGGTTTACAATGAGAAGCTCTGTTCTAGTTCTTGTCTTATGCCTGTATTAGGTGTTCCTATCCTATCACATCCAGCAGTAACCTACATACATGAAAAAGAAGGGTAGGGTTTTATACCCTGCTTTCCTCTACTGTAAGGAGTCTCAAAGCAGCTTACAGTCTCCTTCCCTTCCTCTCCCCACAACAGGCACCTTGTGAGGTAGGTGGGGCTGAGAGAGCTCTTAGAGAACTGTGACTGGCCCAAGGTCACCCAGCAGGCTTCATGAGCAGGAGTGGGGAATTAAACCTGGTTCTCCAGATTACAGCTCACTGCTCTTAACCACTACACCATGCTGGCTCTCCATACATAAAGCTATGTGCAATGATTTTGTGTGGTAACATGTCAAAGTGAGGGTTGCTAGTGAGTTAGAGAAAAAAATCAGTTTGTCAATGTGCCTGAATTCAAGAAGTTTTAGAAATTCTTCTCTAGAAGGAAATGGAAGACGTATAAATATGATAAACTCTTTTGCATTCTATTTTGGTCAAGACTTCGGTCATATAGACCCATAATAAATTGAATTGAATATGATAAACTATTGGCTCTTAGGACCAGTTACCACATGCAAGCCATCCATTCATTTTGCTTACATGATTCCTCTTAATGCCACCACATCCACAGAAGGGCTGCAGGCTACTGCATGAATACACAGGCCTTATTTCCATGTGATGTTACACATGGAGGGAAGGGGCAATGGTAATAAATAGGACATATTAGTGTAAGCATGCATACAAAAGGCTTGTGTGTGTATGTGTCAGTAGGATGCAATTGACAGAGGGCTTGAGGTGGAAAACCCAGATACCTTTGGTATTCACAAAGAGGCTTTGTTTGCATTTTCATTTCTGTCTCATTTTTGGCCCCAGGCAGTTAACCACCATAAAAATATTTATTCTTAAACCAACCTGAGCAATACATGAGCATCACAATGTACTGTGATACACTGAAAGTACAACAGAAATGGATGTCATATCAATACTGAATTCATAAAGTATTCTATGCTCCTTTTATTTTTTTTTTGCCCACATATAAAATTTCTGTCAACTTAAAAGCATGTAAAAATTATCAAGCTATTACCACTCCCCACCAAGCATAGTAGGATCATGCATTAACAGGCAAAACACAATTAACAAAAAATCAGAGTTAATAAAATTAATTTCAAACAAGCAAGCTAAGTGATTGACTTACAGGATCAGCTGGTGCAATGTTAGAATCAAATTGGGTCAGAGTTTGTGAGCTTGAGGAGCGTTCACTAAATGTCTCCCACTGCTGAACAGACAGAGGAGAGACAAGTCAGCACAAGAGGATGGAATAAAGGTTTGGTTGTTTTTTTTCCTGGAGAAGATATAGCAGAGTTCAGAGGTTGCACTGGCAGATGTTTTATGAAAATTGACAATATGTATTTTTAAAGCATACTGAAAGCTTAAGGTAGATTTAAGTCTAGTAGCACCTTAAAGAACAACAAGAAATTACCTTTCGGGAGTCAAAGCTCCTTTCATAATAGAAGTGTTAAGGGTTTTGCAGTTTTTCCAGTGCAACCAGGTATATTAAATTGCCTCAAGAACTAAATGGTCTAAGAAACCAGCATAAGCAAATTTAAAGAGTCTCTAGATATGATAGATGGTCCAAGTTTACCAACAGAATAAAGCTAAAAGAAACACAACTTTAAAAAATGCTGCTGCTGCTGATCAATGTAAATAAACAAGGTTCCTTTTTTTCTGGCATTTGGAACATTTTTTGCGCCTCAATATATTACTAAAAAAACACACACACCAGAGAAGTTTTCATTATAAAGTATCATTAACATGTATTTTAGATTATCAAAACTGCAAATGGGATAAAATTCAATGCCAGTGCAACATCTGAAAGTTACTAGTTGGATCTCATTTTATACAGGTGTAGAATATTTAATTTATAATTGAATCAAGGTAACAGATCAGAAGTACAAACTCTGTAAATCAACAGGGAAATCTGCCTTTGCAATCATTTCAACAAGATACAGGACATGCTTTGTCATAACTGCAAAATGAGTTTCTCATGCTCAGAAAACAAAACAAAATTCAGACACAACAGGAATAATCAAGCATAAAAGCAAGTAAGAATTTAGTGTAGTATTAGAAGTTAGGTTACTTCTCAGACGAGGAATGTTAATATTTCTCAGTTAGTGGAATAGTAAGTAACTATTAGTCAGATATCAAAACATTACAGTCAACTTTGAGACGCCTTTCATATGAACACACATGAAACTGCCTTAGACTGAATCAGACCATCGGCCCATTAAAGTCAATATTGTCTACTCAGACTGGCAGTGGCTCTCCAGGGTCTCTGGTGGAATTCTTTCACATCACCTACTACTTGACCCCTTTAAAACCGGCAAAGCCAGGGAATGAACCTGGGACCTTTGGTATGCAAAGCAGAAGCTCTGCCACTGAGACACGGCCTCTCCCCTCTATGCTCCCTCCGGCCATTTGGAAATTGCTTATTTATGAATAGCTTGGAAATTGTCTAAGTGACCACTACCATGTAGGTCTTTCCTACAGAAACAACTACTCCCTCATGGCTGAGAGCACAACATAAAAGATACCTTGGATTCTTAAACGATAATCAGTAATAATTTACAATACATTTTTGCTAGTAACAACTGTACAATCAGGCACTTGTATTCTGTCAGTAAGTATTTATGGATACAGAGAAGGAAGCAGAAAGACAAATACAAAAGAGATTTTAGATTAATGTTCCATTTAGAAAAGTGTTGTCTACATAAAGCTAAAATACTGAGCTAAAGGCTCATTTGATTAATGGTCAGGATCCAAAGAACTATGGAATTAGTTGTATAGACTTGTGTTCCTTCAATAGCAGCCCACGTGTTAAACTTCTTGTGTTAACTGTGAAGAAGACCACAAGCAGTACGGCATATGGGGAGGGGTGCTATTTAAAGAACAAAATTCTACTGGGCTTATGCGAAAATGCAAAGGCTTCAATGCAGCCACACAGGAGGATGGAGTAGGATCATGCCTTGGATGCTGGGGGCACTAACCCTTGGCCAATGTCATTTTCCCCAAACAAAATGAGCCCTTCACCCCAGCTGCTATTTAACTGTTGCAAGAAAAAAAAAGACAGGCCCAATACAGATACCTGCCTTTTCCCCTCCTAGTGCAACTAGAACAGCTTTGGAAGTGATTTCAAGCAAGAAAACAGCTGGGGGAAGGGTTAAGTTCCCTTCCTGCAGTGTGGCATGCCCAATTCAATGCTGCACAAAGTTATTTTGGCTATCAGCCACTAAATCTGTCTAAAATTTAAATGCCATCCAAGCTGTCCATTACCATTTCTTGCAGCAAGGAATCCCATAACTGTACGTATCTAGTGAAGTGAACAATAGATCTGGGGCTATTTGGGAATCCGAGCTTTCCTATAGCTAAACATATTTGTCTAGCTATAGATACGGCTTAGCAAAGCTGCATCTAAATGGCACCTGCTATTTCTGGCATGTTGTAATGTGCATTTCTTATTACTCTATGACACCCATTCTCACAAAGTAAGTTGATGATGAGACGTGTGTTTAGAAGTATCATTATGTGCATTGTATCTGACTATATGAGATCTTGCCACTGTTAAACTTCCAGATGCTTTCTGAGGTAGGCAACCTAAAAGGGATAGTCTACTGTTAAGTAATATACATGAGATGGATTGACTCAATCAAGAAAGCTATGGCTCTCAGTTTGCAAGACTGAACAAGGCTGCTAATCATGATATTTTGGAGGTCATTAATTCATAGAGTCACCATAAGTCACAAGCGACTTGACAGCACTTAACACATGTACGCACGCGCACATACATAGAGTTAAGCGCAAGTAATCTTCCAGAATGACTTGTATAGGCACAGGCTATGTCTTCTTGACTTTCATATTACATCTATGAAGTCACATCTAGAAATGATACTACTGAACATCTAGCAATGGGCCAAGCTGCTCAATTCAGTGTAGAACCTACTGATTGTCCCTTGATTGATAAAACCAAGTCATTTTGTCAAAGCAAAAAAAATCTAAATAATCCTTATTTAGATAAGAGACATGACTGAGCGTTTGTTGACTCAAAACATTGTCTTAAATGTTATGGCCCTGGACTGAGGCTATAAGTACTATTTGCTGCATGGACATCTCAAAATGAGACCTAGTCCACAGACCTAGTCCACAGTGCACCACACATTAGATCTTAAAATGAGGAAGTAAAAAGTTTTTGCTAACCTCACTGTTTTGATTTAGTTCTGGCCAGGTCTGATTTAACGATGGCATAGATGGTGATTTGCTTGGAGGGGCTTCTGCTGGTGAACTTGCATAACCTACCTCACCAGACTGATCTCCCACTTCTGAAACAGGAACAACTACAAAGGCAAAACACAATGTTGTAAGACAACTTTTAATTACAGATTTATTTTTACTCACTATTAGTTTTGTTTAAGATGAACCTCATTTAAACATTATGGAAGGGTTTTTTTAAAAAAAACAACAACAAGGTATTATGTGTAGTTGCTACAAATAGGCACTGTAGAAGTTTTGTAATTACATGATACAAGGAAGGTAACATCACTGTACTGTTTCCAAATATTTTTCTAGCAATTTGCATTATTGCAATTTTATGTTTCACAGATGTTAAAACAATCAGTATCTCTAAACAAAGAAAGTCCTGGGGACCATGAAATATTCAGATGCTTCCTATTTTAATTTCACTTGATGGCTACGCAGCCACAGGTCATGAACCAGGTGACAGGGCTAGCAGGGATCCAAAGAGGTGTGTCTGCGTGCAGCCGTAGAGCACTTCTGGGGTGGGAATGAAATCAGTTCTCTCTTCTGGCAGCAGTTCCTTGCAGAACGTCCCCTGTCTTCCAAGGCAGTCTTTTGGCGCCTGCTTATTATACAAATTCAGCAATATACTTTTATTTTGCCTTCTTGTGAGGCACGACATAATGCTATTCGAATCTGCTCATTTATAGTATCCAGAATGGTTGAGGTGTTCTTGGATACAAAAGAAAACTGCTAGCTTAAAGGCACTGTATCTGCATATCCACTTATACTCTCCAGCCTAAGTCTTCTCACTATATCGCCTTCATATTTTCAACGAGCGGAAAAATTAACACACAAAACCACCAAGATACCCATCCTTTACTAAACTCATGAACACATCAAGTTTTTAAATGCTTTGTAAAGTCTCCATGTGACAGACAGCACATTTCCAGTGATCAATCTTATATGAGCATAGGCATAGTGCTGTAGACTGTACACAGAGTTCTGTACTTCCTGTCTTCTTTCCATGCCTCAGCCCATACAAGTAGCCATCAGGGAACAAGGGGTCTGCACACACGTCAACACTTACTATGCATGCTATTCACTCTAGAGCAAACGAAGGACCAGATGAGGATACTGAAATACAAATGGAAAGCAAAGGCCCTTATGCTGCACAGGCTTGATAGAGGGAGTGGGCAAGGAGGATAGGAAAAAGGGCTCAGTTGAAACCTGTGGGAATTCTCTTCATGGGGGCCCTATACACCTGTACTTGCGAGCAGATCAGGCCCGTGGCTGTTTAAACTGATAAGATTTGTACGTAATAAGGAATTCCTGTCTTAAAGAACAGTACAGACACAGAAGTGACTCTTCTAATAAATGGGCAAGTAGTACCAATATTTCAGAGCGCTAAGTATATGTTGTCACTAGCAATATTTGCAAAGGGAAACAGACATTTTTGGAAGAAAAATACCTGCTGAGTCCTCCAAATCAATCAGTTTAGGCATTAAACTTTCAGGCAGTTTCTCAGGCAAATCGTAGCCATTCTTTCTTGCAACTACTAGATGAAAAGCAGCACAGAACTCATCCAGTGTTAATGCACCATCTTTGTCAAAATCTGATAGTTCCCTAAGGGGGGAAAAACATTATTTCTGAACTTTGGAAAAATAATGTTTATTTTATTATATCCTCTGAACATGTTGAATACTTTGAAAAGTTCTAGTCAAGACCAGGTTTTACAACACATCCTGTTTTACTATGAAAACATTAAGGCACTATTGTTACATAGTCTGGCACCCTGATTCTAAACATATGCTCACACTTGTAAAAGCTGGGAGGCAAAACAAGCAAGCAGTTACCACATGATGAATTTTGTGATGGAATGTGTCACTTCAGACTGAAGGTAGAAAGCTGAATGTTTAAATTCTCTCTGTACAACGTAAACTAGCATAATACAGAGGAGGGTAAACTCTAGGCATCTGACATATCTAGTGCTTTAGTTACAGGAATATTTTAAGATTAGTCTCTCAGGCCTGCCTCTCGGTGGCCTACCTTCAGTGATGAGGTGGGTGGTAACTAGAGATGGGGCATTTTCTGTGGTGGCACATTATCTTACATAAGAACATAAGAGAAGCCAATGTTGGATCAGGCCAATGGCACATCCAGTCCAACTCTCTGTCACACAGTGGCCAAAAATACCAGGTGCCATCAGAAGGTCCAGCAGTGGAGCCAGGACACTAGAAGCCCTCCCACTGTTGCCCCCCCAACCATCTTTGGAATGCTCTCCCTCTCCAGCCTCAACTGCCACCAATTGTACTTTCTTTTAGGTGCCAAGCCAAAACACATCTTTTTACCCTTACATTGATTTAGACGTTTTTATCTTAGCAACTTTTTCAGAGCTTGCTTCCGTTTTATGGATATGTTTTATGCTATTTGTGCCCAATGGCTTGTTTATAATGACTTATTTAACACTGTTATGTTTCAAATGTAAACCACTTTGAGCAGGATAGGCAGCACAGAAATACCCCAAATAAATAACATTTAATATGAGAGACACATTAAGTTTTCCATTTGCAGCTGGAACCTGCAGTTCATTCTGTCTTCAAGTCATGACCTAGTTCCTTTTAACTTAACAGAACCAAGATGCACACTTACACTTTTAGAAGCTATTTAGTTTCAGTAGAATTTATTCACTACTAGTTTTTCCATTCACTTTAACAGAGGTGGCAGGTCCAACTGTACATTCCTTTGCATGTATGAAGCTACCTCTTGGCAATAGTGAATAATGAACATATCTACCCCAGGGCTGTGGCTCAATGGTGGAGCATATGCTTTGTGTACAGAAGGCTCCAGCTTCAATCCCTAACATAGCCAGCTTTAAAAAAAACCCCACAAAAACTCAAGTAGCAAAGATCTTTCGCTACCCAAGACCCTGGAGCATCACTATTCACTACCAAACAGGAGACAAATCTGAGCCAGGTGGTCATCTGATGCTGTAAGGTAGCTTCATGTGAAGCCTTTGGAAGTGTAACAGTAAGCATACACATATATGCATAGGGGCCTGCTTATCAAGCAAAAGTGGTCTACATTCTATACGACAAATTTATTTTAGACACCCTTGATTTGAGAATTCTGAAAGAGATAACATCTCTTGTGGAAAAAGTATCCAACATAGCACTGGAATACTAAGGAAAAATTAAGCACTGTGTTTAAGTAGTTATTAGGATGTAAGACTATCAAGCAGTTGATTATGGAGATTTATTTATTTATTATCAAATTTATACCCCGCCCTACCCGCAAAGCAGGCTCAGGGCTGCTTCCAAAATGACATATATACAGCTTAAAACACAATTATTGAAACACAACAAATAAAACAAGCATAAAGTGCTGGCGGCAATTAAAATTCACTTAGATGACACACTTTCAAAGGATTTCCATTTCCCAAATGTTCTAAGATGTTCTTCTGCTCTTAGTTTCCTTATAGCAACAACTTGATGGTGGATCATGGGCAAGGCGCTGCAGTGGCCGGGCAATCCAACGGCAGTGGCCCCTAATTAAATGCCTGGCAGAAGAGCTCCGTCTTGCAGGCCCTGCGGAACTGTAAGAGGTCCCGCATGGCCCTGATCTCGTTCCACTAGGTAGGGGCCACCACCGAAAAGGCCCCGGCCCTAGTGGCAGCTAGCCTGGCCTCCCTCAGGCCAGGGAGGGTCAACCGATTTTGAGACCCAGACTGTAGTGCTCTCTGGGGTATATACAGGGAAATGTATGTCGGACCCTGGCCATAAAGGGCTTTAAAGGTAAGAACCAGCACCTTGAAGCGGATTCGGTATGCTATTGGCAGCCAGTGCAGTGTCCTCAGCACAGGCTGGATGTGCTCCCGTCTAGGGAGACCCAACAACAGCCTGGCCGCGGCATTCTGCACTAGCTGCAGCTTCCGAATCCGCGACAAGGGCAGCCCCATGTAGAGAGCGTTACAGTAGTCTAGTCTCAAGGTGACCATCGCATGGATCACTGTAGCCAGGTCAGCGCATTCAAAGAAGGGAACCAACTGCCTAATCAGCCTGAGATGATAAAAGGCCGACTTAGCAGTGGCCGCTACCTGGGCCTCCATAGTAAGGGAGGAATCCAGGCGCACTCCCAAGCTCCGAACCTCCGGGGCTGGGACCAATGAAGCCCCACCGAAGGTCGGGAGTGGGATCCCCACCCCCAAACTGCCCCGGCTCAGGCACAGGACCTCCGTCTTCGCTGGATTCAACTTCAGCCGACTCAGTCTAAGCCAACCAGCCACGGCTTGCAGTGCCTGGTCTAGATCCTCTGGTCTGGAGTCCGACTGGCCGCCTAGCATCAGATAGAGCTGGGTGTCATCAGCATACTGGTAGCATCCCAGCCCATACCTCTGGCCGATCTGGGCAAGGGGGCGCATATAGACACTCAAGTGGGTGTCTCCTGGACTGTTGTTCCCATAGCGCCACCCTTTGTCCCTGACCCTGGAGAAAGGAAGCAAGCCATCGCAAGGCAAGCCCCCGAATCCCCACGTTGGCGATATCAATAATACAATCTGTTGGTAATAGTAATAATACAATCTGTCAGGCTAGGCACATCTGCTCTACTCTCCATATAGGTGTCCCATCACTCTTTACAACCCTAAAATACTTGTTTAACCTTGCAATTCCAAGATACAGGCCAGCAATTATGCTCAAAAGACTGAATACGCTACTGTCCACATACTCTAAATGCTGTATATTACTTTACCATGCTCAGATAGATCCCGAGGTTGTGGTTTATAGGGATCACAAATGTGTGTTCTATTTGAATATCTGTAGTATGCCGAGAGAAAAATGGATCAAACTACTTATGTTCCAGCAAAATGAACTTCCCCTAGATACTTTACTTGCTAAACTTTTAATGGCTTCTAGGCCAGCAAATAATCTCTTTAGCTAAATTCCTTGTTCAGGCCACAAAAGCTTGGGCAGCCTATGACAAGGCATCTTCTCTAATATGGCATAGCCTGCCCTCTCTGGCTTGATTATTCCTTTCTGCCTCTTACTCCTATTTGGCATTGATTGATACTACTCAAGACCTGTCAGTCAGAGGAGCAGAGAAAGTTATTGGGCTTTATCTTAAGTATCTCTGAAGAACGGATAACTAAAATGAAACCTTGCATAACCCAAACCATCTTCCTTCATGAAATCTTAACCATGATAGTGCTAGATACTACTTCTTGATCTAGCTTACTATAGTTTCTGCTCAAAATAAGGTCCAATAGATGTTTAATGCTTGCCCTAAATGGAAACAAGGGTTGGATCCAGCCAGCTTTTCCATGCAATCTTACCCAATTCCCCTCTTTATCATAATCCCCATTCTACACAACTGCTGTAAATCCAGGTCCTATGATCTACAGAGCAGCTTCTTTGGGTGCTCAAGGGGGACCCCATCTTCCTTTTTTGCTGACTGAAAAGCTGGTTGGATCGAAGACTAAGCCTCTAAGTAACTGACAATTCAGATGCAAGATACTGTAATACAGTGTTTTGTAATCTGCATCTACCTGCTGAATGCTTCAACTTTTGTTAAAGAACTGTGATTCTTAACAAGGTATTACTTAGACACACTTCACACTTACCAAATGTGCGACAGCTCAAGAATAGGGAGTTTTGATTTTGTAAAAAATTCTTTAGCTGCAGACCCTGAAATATTAAAAGTGGTGTTTAAAAAGGCTTGCTGAAATATATTCGTATGCATCTTAAAATACACTGCAGAAATGCTTTAACAGTATTGCGTTTCTACAGAGGTGACAGCAAATGAGAACAAAACTTAGTTCAAAAATTACTGTGGAGTCCAAAGGTAAAGCTGCAGCACCCATTACAAAGTGCTAAATGTATATAAAGACCACCACAATAACTGTCTTCACAAGCAGAAAATTGAAATGAGTGCCCTGTTGCAATTTTGTTAACTTGTATGTTGAAACAGCTCACCTGGAATATATCCATTTAGATCAGGCTGAATGGTTTTAAATTGATTCACATAATACTGCCTTTGTTCATCTGTTATTTTCCAGGGATCGTCATAACTACTTGATTGCCTACGAATTTCATTAGCTGTTGTAGCTGATGCTACAGTTCGTACAGTTGTCTGATCCTGTAATGAAATATTATTCTTCAGCATTCTCTAATTTTACCAGATGCCCTACACTTTCTATATTTACCTATAAAAATGAAAAGACAGCTGTTTATTGAAGTAGTTTTTAAAAACTTCTGAATGATGTAGTTAGGTAGGACTATAAAGAAATCAAAAATATAACAGAAATGGCAACATACATGTATGCAACACAAAGTTATGCAGATAATAGTTTAATCTAAGCAAAAAGAAAAACTGAAAGTTTGATTTTGGACATGCTAGCATGTTTTAATGTAAGTGTCCTTGGTCTGGAATCTTCCGTGACTTTGGCTCAGTAAAAGAAATCATATCTTTAAATTAAAAAATGGATCCGAGTCTGAAGTAACATTCACATTCATAGCATGAGTGATGATAACAAAAATGATTGGCAACTGCAATGAAGCAAATCAAAACAATACCAATAAAATGTCACACCTGGACAGAAGCAGGATGCATGGGTAAAATAGTACTGGTTGGTGTGTTATCTGCAAAACTGACCCAGTTTTCTTGATGGGGTGGTGGAGAATGGCCAGACCACATTGGATCACCAGTATTACAGGAGCCTGAAATCAGAAAACAGTCCAGTTTCAAGACTGCCATACAACCTCTTCAAGGAAAGTATGACTTGAAAAAACAGGATGCTTACCTGCAACTATTCTTCAAGTGACCATCTATGCATTCACACTAATGGGTTTTATGCCTGGGCAGAACATAATCTTGGAAAGTTCTACAGCTAGGCATGAAACACTTCCCCTCCCCTTGGGGATGGTTTGGACTGCATATGCTTGAAGAGGAGTTGCACCTTTGCCACTCATTTCCTTTCAAACATTTGAGAACACTGCTGTGAACCAAAATACCTGAAGTGGGTAAGGAGGGCCGACTATGTAAATGCACAGATGGCCACTCAGAGAACAACAGGTAAGCAGTGGGTGTTTACTTCTTCATGGTCTCTGTGCATCACACTGGTGGGTGTACAATAGCAAGCTGGCCTACTTGGAGATGGGTGCAAGTACTGTTCATGGGGAAGTGGACCGAAGAATAGCCTGGCCAAAGGAAGCATCTCCACATAGTCTTGTGTTGAGTGCGTAACACTTCACAAATACAGTGGGTTGCACTCATGTAGCCACTCAACAGAATTCAGAGAGCAGAATTATCTTGACAAATGCCTGGGATACTGCCACAGATCTGACTGAGTATGCTCCTACTGAAGTTTTAATCCTGGTTTGTAACACAGTTCAATGGTGTGTGAGATCCAACAACTGATACATTGAGATGACACAGGCTGCCCTTACGTTGAACTGCATAAGACAAGAAAAGCATGGGACATGAAAGAAGTGTGATCAACATACAATGCTAGTGCTCTTCCTGACAGCAGGTGAATGGAGCGGTCTCTGCATCATCGTTGGGATTAAAAAAGAAAGTCAACAGGATTATGTCCTTGTTTACGTGGAAATCTGAAACAACTTTAGGCAGAAATTTGTATCTGAACACAGAGTGACCTTGCCTTAATGAAACTGGGAAAAGGGTGGGTTGGCCCTAAGGGCTGCCAGTTCAGAGGCCCTTCTAGAAGAGCAAACAGTTATGAGCACAGAAGCTTCAAATCCAAGCAGACTGAGATTGCAGGTCACCACAGGTTGAAGCAGTTTTTACATGAGTTGAATAAGGATGAGATGGAGATCCCACTGAGGTATAGGTGGTCATGGGGGGGGGGGTAACATGTGTATCAGATCCCTAAGAACTGGTTTACTGAGAGACCAGTGGAAACAGATCTGCGCCAGGCCAGATAACTGTAGGTGAAACAGGTATCCCTAGTAGAGTACAGGAAGTTTTGCTGAATTACAAATACACAGAATCTCTTCCATTCCCAGTCACTGGAGCTCCGGGTAAGAAGGTTTTCTGGAGTCCAGAAGAACTTTCACTACAGTATATGGTAAGGGCTCTGCTGCTGGACCCTTCAGGCTACCAGGTCTAACAGATCTGAGTGTAGACCCCTATCTCACTGCTGTGACAGAATGTCAAATGCAGTCAGAAGGCAAATGTAAATACCCATGGCCATCTTGAAAACCTTTGTGAGCCAAGGCGGATGCAACCAAAAGAGGGTGACTAGGATACTGTCTGATCTGTCCCTCTCCATCTCCACAAGCACCCTGAAGATTAGCAGAAGGGGAGGCAAAACATATAGGAATATTCTTGACCACATAAGGAAACAGGCATCATTCTTGGAGTTGGATCATACCCTCCATGAGCACCATAATAATGTTGGTCTTGTTAGTCTAAGTGGCAAACAGTCTGAACAGAGGATGACCCCAATAACTGAATACAGTCTGGAGATCTTTGTTGTTGAGTGACCATTCATTCACTATAGTGCCCTGGTGACTCAGGGCATCTGCCTTTGTGTTGGAAGCTTTAGCTATGTGGACAGTGATTGGGAAGATACGGCGGCAAATACATCACTCCCATAATTGACAAGTAAGATTGTTTAGAAAAGGTGGGAACAACACACTGGGAAGAGATGAAAGGATGACAGATTCCTGCCAAGAAGAATCATAGAGTCACAGAGATGGAAGGGGCCATACAGGCCATCTAGTCCAACCCCTTGCTCAATGCAGGATCAGCCTAGAACATTCCTGACAAGTGTTTGTCCAGCTGCCTCTTAAAGACTGCCAGTGAGGGGGAGCTCCATAGGTAGCTGAATCTTTTTAAGAACCTACAATTTTAGAAAGTGAAGTGAAAGCTGCATTAATAGCAACTGGGAGAAGCAAATAACTAGGAGTAGATGGGCTATCAACAGATCTATTTTCAGCCACAGAAACTGAGCCCATTAAAATCTGAACAATATACCAACAAATATAGAAAACAAAACCATGGCCCACAGATTGGAAACGCTCAATTTATATTCCCATTATGATAAATGGAGACAAAGACCACAACAACTATAAGACCACTGCATTAATTTCTCATGTAGTAAAGTTATGCTCAAAAATCTCACAACTGTTACCATAAATGGAATAAGAAATGCCAGATGTTCAAGCAGGATTCCGAAAAGGAAAAGGCTTCAGAAATAACACTGCAAATTTACGTTGGTTACTGGAGCATATGAGAGAACTTCAGAAGAAAATTTAGTACTTCATAGATTACAGCAAAGCTTTTGACTGTGTGGATCATGAAAAGTTAATGTTGGTTTAAAAAGAAATGGATGTGCCACAGCATCTGATTGTTTTGATGTGTAACCTGTACTCCAGACAAGAAGCTACCTTTAGGACAGAATGTAGAGAAACAGAATGGTTTCCCATTGGCAAAGGTGTCAGACAAGGATGTATTTTATCTCCCTATCTCTTCAATCTGTATACAGAACATATCATAAGAAATCCGGGATTAGATTTAGATGGTGGAGTGAGAACTGTGGAAAGAACATTAACAATTTGAGATATGCAGATGATGGTGGCAGAAAATAATGAAGACTTGAAATGACTAGTGCTGAAATTTAAAGCAGAAAATGCCAAATCAGGATTACAGCTGAACATAGAGAAGACAAAAGTAGTGACTACTGATGAATTACTCAACTTTTAAGGTTGACAATTAAGAAATTGAAATTGTTCAAGATATCCTGGTCCTTGGCTCCATCATCAACCGAAACAGAGACTGCAACCAAGAAATTAGACAGAGACAGGCTTGGAAGGGCAGCTATGAAGGAGGTAGAAAAGATCCTTAGGTGTAGGGATGTGTCACTGGTCAAGTTAATTCATGCCATCGTACTCCCTATTACTATGAATGGGTATGAAAGTTGGGACAATGAAAAAAGCTGACTGCAAGGAAGTTGATTCATTGGAAGTGTTGTATTAGAGAAAACTTTTACGGATACCGTGGACCACTAAAAAGACAAATCAGTGGATTCTAGATCAAACCAAGCCTGAACTTTCTCTGAAAGCTAAAAATGACTCACTGGGAAAGACAACAAATACTATGAAAAGTTGAAGGCAGCAGAAAAAGAGGAAGACCCAACATGAAAATCTTGTTTTTTATGTTTTTAATTTTTTTTTTTATGTTTTATCCTGAGCATCTCAAGGAAGGGAGCTAATTAACATTTTAAATAAAATAATATATATTTCCTACTTACTGAGCTACCAGAGAATGGCTTGAATTACTGGACATTCTTCAAAGGAGGGTGCCAGTGTCCTGAATATTGCTGTCTGGATGATGGAGGCACAAGGCCCATGGATCTGGCAGCAATGTGGAGGTCTTGGATATAGTTTAGGGTATCATAAGAATATAAAAAGAGCCCTGATGCCCGATCAGACCATTATTCCATCTAGTCCATCACACAGAGGTGAATCAATTATTGTGAAGAACCAACATGTGAATTCCACGTTTGAATTACTAGCTGAGTAACAAAGCACTTCCTTTTGTCCATCCTGAATCTATTTGGCCATTAATTTCACTGGATAACCTTGAGTTTTAGTATTTGGGCAAAGGAAAAGAGTTCTCCCTAACCATGCTATTATCCATTTTAGTACTAAAAACAGACAAATAACCAAAGGGAAGATCTTCTCATTCTTGCCCAAGTAACAGGTGCTAAGTTTGAAAAGTGCAACCAGGCATGATGGCAAAGTGCAACAGCTGTAACCATTTGTTTTGCACTTGTCTCTGCAACATGCTTAGTTATGCACACTTGTGGCTTAGTCATCTTTAGGGCCTCAACTTGAAAAGTGAGGGCCATGGTGCAAAGTGATTCACTGAATAAGTAGGCAGATGCATGGAAAGGAAGGCACAGTCATCGGTCTGAAGTTTATAAAGGTTTTCCATCTTCCTAGAAGTAGGTGGGTTGAAAGACAGTTTCTCCCAGGAATTCTCGTCTAGTTCCAGGAGTTCTGAACTGGGGGAAGGACTACTGGGATGTGAGAATCAGAGTCCAAAATCCCCAGTTATAGGGTCAGGTTTGGTGGGAGCCCAGTTTTCTACCTTTAATTTGAGGACAGCCTCCAGGCGTAGATATGTTCCATTAAAAAAGACCATCTTCTGAGGATGACATGCGATGGTCAGAAAGGTCAAACCGTGGGGAAGAAGCTGAGGCTTCGTTCAAGTACTCCACCAAATGTGAGAGTCCATGCCTTGATCAGAACAGCACTGGTTCTCTAACAGAAGAACAACATGTAGATCTGCATGCCCAGGCAGCATTTTGGAGCCATCCAGATTTGTTGGTATCAAAGGAGTGTCAACTGCTTAGACTTCCTTGATCCCGAGGGGAGCTGGTGCAGGTAGATTTGTCCAAAGTACAGTAGTCAGTCAGGGACAATGCTGCCTGAGCATAAGAGTGTTTTTAGCCCATGCAGGTGGCACTCGAACAGTGCTAGTGGATGTGAAGTCTGTTGCCCTATCAGGGTCAGGATTCACCATCAGAGGTTTTATGGCCATCAAATGTAAAGGGAGAGGCATTACAGTAGGAACTGAGAAGCAGAGGCCCTTGATACTGTTGCTTCAGGTAAATTCCTGGATGAGCACTCACACACATAGGAAGGCCTCAAAGAGTGGATCATGACTGAGATCGATAGTGCCCATAGCAGTT